CGCGCGCGCGCGCCGCCGCACCACCACCAAAGACACACCCGTCGTACACCTGCTGCTCTCCACTCGATCAAGATCGAGTGTCAAGTGTCTCGTCATACTGATCAAGTCGTCCCTCTACGCCCAACATGGCAGGGGATTCGGAGAAAAGCAATGGACTGGTCATTTCGCTACAACAAGTCTGAACATCGTCGTGTGCTTTCCCATCTCTCGCACATCTGCAAGTCTCACCTCACCACCACTGCGCAGTGGATGGGTTTGCAAAAAGAGCGTTGCAAAAGGCGTCCCAGTCCAGTTCAGACCGATATGCAAAATCGGGACACTCTTGATCGGCGTATTGTATACATCATGGTACCTGTGCCCCACGTGCGACGAGCATGACGCAAGACTGCATTCTGTCTTGCCTCATTTGCCTCTGTTTTGCGACGCCTAAATCCCACCCTGCAAGATCCGCTGTGCCACTCTTTCTTTGACCTGTATAGGTGAGAGCGTAGTGGGCATGTTTGGGTTCAGTGGAGAGATCGGTAATTGGACAATTGCGTTGACGCGTGGCAGGCACCTCTTGCCCAGACGGGGTAGGACAAGCCAAAGCACGTCGATCATGCTCTGCCCCTGTCTTGCACACTCGGCTGCTTTCCAATCACCCACCGCCACGTACAACGACTCGAGTAGCCTTGCTTTGTCCTCCCTCGACGATGAGCATAGCCCTCACATGATCTGACATGACCACGTCTTTCAACCAACCTCTCGTCCCGCCCCCGGCTCATCGCCCGCACACTCACGGAAGAGTAAAAGTTGGACAAGGTTTGCTCGTTGATTTGCGGCATCTCTGTCACGTCTGGACGAGGTCTAGAGACTCTAGAAGCGATCGTCATGCTATCCATCTCCAATATGATTCTGATCATTTGCCACCAACGGCAGCATTTGGGAGGTGGAAGGATCGCTTCAGCATGGCCATTGGTCATCATGCGTCTTTCCGTACGTCACACGACGCATCACGACTCACCCATCATCCACGCTCTCGTCGATGGCCAACGTTACCAAATCCAAATTTTCTAGAACCGCACGTCGATCGATCTGGCCGTGTTGCAAGAGGGCAGCGATGGAGTCGTACAGACTCGAGAGCAGGGATGAGAGCATCAGCTCATTCTCCCCCTGAGGACCCACGACGTAGAGTATGACGTCCAAAGAAGCTCGGAAGAGGACGAGGTGCGAATCGTAGAGAATCACATCGCCTGCGGAAAAGTTTCGTTGTTAATGTCACACTGGTCGACTGTCGCGTTGCGTTGCCCTATGCAGCTCATGTGACCAGCATACGTCGGCCTAATCGCAACACCACACCATACCGCAATGCGAGACTAAGCCGAGCACTCACCAGCAGCCCGTCTAGTCTTTTCCCAAACAGCCTTTTCGAAAGCCTTTTGTTCCCTCAGCGTCGCAAAGTTGTTCTTGGCGTTCAATTGAGGAGGTAAGCCGCTCGCTGTCGCATGTGCTGGAGCGCCGGATTGAGATTGAGGCTGTGCATGAGGAGGTTCGTAATACTTTGCTACGATGCGCGATCCATCCGAGGCGTCTAGAAGCAGGATGGCGCTGGTCGAGTATAGCGTTAGATTAGACATTGTGATCTTGATGTCGATCACAGTGGACAAGAAGAGCAGGCGTTGCTGTGCTGATGGAGATCTCTTCACGCTAGAATCAGATCACGTTGGCGAACGGCGCTTGCGAGCCTGGATTTCTGCAGGATTCCCACCCGGATTCGACAGCCGGGAGTTCAGCGCAAGGGACCCGAGCACTGGATGCGGCGGCTTATGATCTGTGTATTGATCTTTGTTTGGATGGATAACGAGAAGGCGAGGATGTGACAAGGTGGGAGTGAGCAAAGGTGTGCGTCGAGCCGAACACATCCAAACAACGCTATGCACATCCACCTGATGGCTGCTGTTGGCGACGTGGTGGCTACGTCACGTGTTCGTGCACGGACGCATCAGACTCGTGACTTTGACTTGCGTGCAGGTTTGGCGCGTTTTCTTGACTGCAACGCACGACCTGCCTGCATGCAGCAGTCACGAGTCAAGAGTCAGAGCGTGCACCGCCCCGCGCGACCGCTTCAGAACTGCGCTACGCCCCTGTTGCTCTTCCCACGCTTCTTCTCCCGTCCATCCGCCCTTCTTCACAAAGAAGGTCCAGCCAGCCT